CCCAACATCTGCTGCTGCTCCCTGGCAGAGCCATGCCATTCGTTTCATGGATTGGGATGATGGGGCTTTCTTCCTCAGTGACACAGAAACTATGGCAAAGAATGTTTATTCTTTGTGTGCTACTATGCGCTGTGCACTGTGCTAGCTACTTTGGGGCACAGGGATGTACAGTAAGGAGCTGTATTCACTATCCCCAAAGAGCTAACAGTTAGTGGGCAGGCATCCTCACATGTGAAACAGGTATTGTCATCCATGTATAATAACAGTTCCTGCCTCACGGGGGTACTGTAGGCTTAATGAGCTCATGCGGACAAGGCGCTGAGGGCAGTGGCTCCCCGACAAAAAGCACCCAATACTTGACTTGTATGGTGAGCACCTGATGGGGAAGTACAGTGGGCTCTGGGGACTCAGGCCCCACTCACCCTAACTCAGAGGGGTGGCAGCAGGGGACATTCCCTTGGGTAAGAGAGACATCTACCTCCTGCCCTGAGCCTGGGCTGTTGGGGCCCACTCTGGTCATGGGGTGGATGGGACAACAGTAGATTGCCAAGCCTGAGTCCTGGCCCTGCTGACACCAAGTCGGGCTAGGGGTCCCACTCATGATCTGGTCATGTCCCGCTGCCCCCTCAGAGAGGAGCCCTGGGCAGGCCAAGGTGCACAGGAAGAACATGTTGGGAGGGGGCTATGGAGGCCTCGTGACAGGGAATGACCAGGAGAAGGTGCACTTTCTCTCTGGGGCAGAAGGGAGGCATGCCAGCTTATAGTCCCTCGCCCAGGGGTAGGCTGTACAGGCCTGCAGGAGAGGCCAAGGGGAGGCCAAGGAGACCCTACAGGATCAGGGACAGCTTACAAACCCCAGAGCCAAGGGAGGACCGGGCTGCGGGGAGGGAGTAGGGATGCTGACAGCTTGGAAGCTGGGTCCAGCATCCAGAGGTGAAGCCAAGACACCTGGGTTTCAAGGGTGGAGACGGAGGCTAGACCAAGGGCAGGCTCTCCTTAGGAAGAAAGTGTTTGGCAGAGTCAGGGTGTGAGGTGGCCCCTGTCTCCAGGACAGTTCCCTCTACACCACTCTCTGAGTACGACCAATTTTGTCATCATCTATCCACCTGAATTCTCCATGGCCCTTCCTAGCTATATGATTTGGGGCAGCTTACTGAACCTCTCTGAGCTCTGGATTTTGCCTGAAAAAACAGGGTTAATGAGAGACACTGCGTTTAGCACCTCTGCCAGTACAGTGGGCCCACAGGCGGGCTCAGAGATGGCCGTCATCCTGGCCCCAGTCGCACCATCTTTTCATATCAATTTTTCCTTGTTTTTTTTGCTTTAGTATTTTTGGCTCTGGGTCCACAGGCTTGCGGTGGGTTCATTCAAAGTTCTTATTCCAGAGAGCAGAGACAAGGGGGGCAGGTGAACAGGATGCTTTCTAAGCCATCCCCCAAAACTGTTCCAGGCAGAAGGAAACGAGCCTGGGATGGCAGGTGACCTTGAAAATGACATTACTTGGGTGGGAGGGGGAGGTCTATGCAAACATTCCTACCGAGTCAAACTCCCCAGCCAATGGTATCCATCCCTGGGAGTATTAAAAGGAAAGTACAGGAAAAAACCAACATCTAGACCCACAGCTAATTGAGTTGCAGGTGGCGACTGGAGACAGACACATTTGACTCTTCCCCTCTTTCCCCCAAAGTGGCCCTCAGGTGACAGAAGAGACCAGCCTCCTCTCGCAGGGAAATCAGGAAGAGAGAGGAAAAGAATTGGGGAGGTGGGTGGCAGGAATGGGAATTAGGCAAAGAAAAATTGCCCACAAAATGCAGAAACGCCCCAGCACGCTTGCTTCCCAAACCTGGCCCATGAATCGAGGGGTGACAGGTCTCTCATCTCTGATGCCAAGAGCCAGTAGCTCCAGGCAGCCGCAGGTACTACATCTGCACCTGCCAGCACTTGGAAAGAGGCAATAAAGCATCGTAGCAGGGCCTGGAATGCTAAGTGCCTGCAGCTGGGAAAGGACCGCCTTATAGCAAGAGCAGCTCACGGCAGACGTCCACTGTGCAGCGGATGTCCACGGTGCGAGGGCCGGGCTGGCTCCCACGGACTCACCTGTACTTCCTCTCCCGCCCCGGGGCAGCCTGCTCCCAGGGACGGGGTCGGGGGAGAGGACAGGTGCACCCATAATCTAATCCTGGGGGCTGCCGGAGGCTGGTGGTGGCCCAGACAGACAGGCCCCTTCTGGAGGAAACCCAACAGGCTGGGTGATTTACCGAGGCCAACAGAAAACTGGGACGGCTGAATCACTGGTCAATAAAAGTGGATCATAAAGCACCCGGCTAAGCCAGACGCCTGGAAACACACCAGGGCTGCATCTCCGAAATGATAATAACAATAATAATGTTTATACAACACTTACCACACTAGTGCCAGCCCCTGTTCTAAGTGCTTTGTGCGCAGAGTAATTTAGTTAATCCTCATAATAACCCTAAGAAGTTGCCGGTAGAATTGTCCTCCTGTTACATACCAGGAAGACAAGGCAACACAGAGGCTAGAGCGCTAAGAACTAACAGAGCCTGGGTTGGAGTCCATTCAGCCTGTTTCCGAAGCCAGGCCCTCGCCAGTGTTTCTCCAACTCTACTGTACCTGTCAGTCACCTGGGGGGGAGGGCACAGGGGGGGCCTTGTCAGCATGCAGCTCCTGACTCAGCTGGTCTGGGGTGGGGCCTGAGACTCTGCATCACCAACAAGCTCCCAGGCGATACCTGGTCCGAGGACCATACCAGGAGTACGAGGCTCTAAACTACTACACCATGTTCCCATGACACCTCTGCAGCTGCAGAAATGGGTTTATACCACACTGCTCTGCCCCTGGAGGCAGCTATGAATTCCTCATTTAACAGAAACAGGCCCTGACAGAGTGTCAGAATGAAGGGGACTAATTCAGTCAGGGTTTCTTGGGTGGGGCCCAGATGGGGGTGATGTGTAAGCCTGGTAGAGTCCTAGGGGCAGACAAAGGAACACCTCAGTCAGTGTGTCAGATTCATGCCTACAAAACTGGGGAAAGTTCCTGGGGGTTAGGTCAAGGATTTCAAAGGTGCTTTCAGAAAAAGGTGGTGAGCCACCTTCTGGGCCAGTTGAGGGGTATGGCTAAGGTCTGCTTGGGTACCTCCTTCTTGTCCCCTGGGGCATCCCTGGAGGAGAGGGACAGCTAGCAACCTCCCAGCCTGGCATGACTTCAGAGAGTCTCCCGCTACCCCATCCACAAGCTTTCAAGAGAGCAGACACTGGCCTAGATTAGCTTTGGAAACAGGCTCCCAACAAAGAGTGACCGAACCTGGGCCCTCTTCCTGACGAGGCCTGGACCTTGGTCCCCCACCCTATCTTCTGCCTGCCCAGCCCAAGAATCCAGCCACGTCAGTTGATTAAGAATCCCGCCACCCTGACATCTGATCTCCCTCCACATCTGATCAAGTTCCTCATCCCCCACGTTGGTGGATGCATCCTTGGCCTTCCTGTAGCACGAATCCCTCTACGCTTGGTGGCCCCTCTTGGTCATTTTCCATCCACTCACTGTCCTCACTCTGCTCCTTGGCTATGAATCCCCACTTGTTCTTTAGTAACTTGGAGTTGAGCCCGCTCTCTCTCCCCTATTGCAGCATTCTAAAGCCTTCCTTACCATTTTAACAAGTAGCAGAATGACTTTTTTTCTTTAACACTACCCCCACTCAAGGGAAAAGTCACCCCACAAAGTCAGCAGCCCTGGGTAGCAGGAGGGGGCATGGTGCCACTGCCAGTCAAACACAATTTGGACTCCTCACCTTGCCATTCAAGGCCTAGACAATGAATTCAATGCCTGGGCAATGACCTCAAGCCTCATTTCTCTCTTGTGTGCCCCCCACATATGGCAAAATCAGATGCTGCACGGCTCCTGACACACCCCTGAACTCCTCCCACTCTGCCTTTGCCTAGGCTTTTCTTCCACCTGGAATGTCTCCTCCCCATTCTTTTAATCCACCTCCTTTGAGTCACAGCACTCTCTTCCTTGGTGATGAGACTAGTTATCCCTGCGTTTTCATTTCCCTGTCTCCCATAAGTATACAACTACCCATTTTAGCTGGGTACATGGCTCTCTAGGATAAAGACTACATTTCCCTGGTTCCTCTGCAGCTCACATGGTCACATGACTTGAGTTCCAATCAATGCAAAGTACGCACAAGCAATGTGTGTCACTTCCAGGAGTATTCTCATGCCTCTCCTTCACCTCTTTTTTTTTTTTTTTTTAGCTGAGCCATCCTGCCACCTGTTGGCAGCTCAGCGGCTGCTCAGCTCGGGCCGGGACTCGAACCGCTGTTGCTCAGAGCTCAAACTTGAGCGAGCTCTTAACCAACTGAGCCACTCGGCCGGCCCTTTCCTTCACCTCTTTTTAAAAATGTAATGGCTGGAGCTCCAACAGCCACCTTGGACTGTGACGTGCTCTTGAACACAGAAGCTACAGATGGTGGAACAACTGGTTCCTGACAAGATGGAACAGCATATCAAGGTTGGGCAGACCCCTCCAGGCTTGAACATGAGAGAAAAATTATTTTCCATCTTGGCTTATCCACTGGTCTTTTGGAATTTTCTGTAACTCACAGCTGAACTTAATGCTATTAGATCTACACTTTCAAGCCCCTGAAGGCATGAGCTCTGGATTCTTGGGTTTACAGTACTATAGACACTACATAGAATCATCGTTTGTATCTTCTTCCCAAGTTAAATAGTAAGTAACCTGAAGGCTGGGATCGTGTCTGATCCGTTTCCATATTCCCTTGCCCCGTGAAGCATAAGGCCTCATACACAACACAAAGCGTGTCTTACTTAGGATTGAACTGAATTCTTTCTATTATACTCCACACAGCTTCCTGATCCGCATCCATATCCTTAGCCTGCTGCAAACCTTCCCGTAATGATGCGCCCAAGTGAAGTGGCCCCTCGCCCCATCCAGGCCACCTCCCAGGAGGAACATGCCCTTACCAAGATGTCTGAGTCCTCAGGTTCCTCCCCTGGGGCTGGGCTGGTGCAGTTACGAAGTTTGAATGTCCAGTACTCCTTGGCAGTGACAAAGAAATTCCATGGCAGTAGGCTGCCAATGCCCAGGCTGAAGAAGATGATGTAGGCACCATTAAAGCGGTCCTCAGGCTTCTGCAGGCTGGGTGGTGGGTGATCCAGCAGCTTCTCAAGTAGTGCATCCTGGTCAGCACGGAGAGAGCTGCTTGCAGTTCTGTAGGTGGAGTTTGAACTGTGACGGAAGTCATCCTCTGAGACAATGGCCACTGTTGGAACAGAGAGAGAAACAGAAACGGGACAGGTGATCAAAAGCTGAAGCTGGGCACAGCTGGACACTCACCCATCCTACAAAGCTGACTATACCCCCACCGTGGGGTCTGTTGAAGCTTGCATGGTTAGAGAGCTTCAGGTTTAAGGGTCAGAGAGAAAAGCAAAGTGTCAGAACTGTAAGTGACCACACACCCCCGCCGCTATGTAGGGCAACACAGGTAGTAAAAAAGTGTGTGGCTGGCTGGGAGTAAGGAATGCAACATAGCGGGGCCTGTGGCAATCAATGCAAAAGGGCGAACCTTGTCTTAAGGCATTCGCATTTCTATGCAGCCATAAAAAATGGAACTAGAACCCTGGACAGGCCAAGAATGCTCTCTCAACTCTTTTCAACTTTATGTGAGGAAAGAAAGGAGCAGGAGTGTGTGTAGAACATGCTACTATTTGTGCAAAACAATCCGGAACGGGGTGGGTGGGGAGAAGACTCACACATACGTATGTATGTACGTTATGTATGTATATTCTCTGGAAGGACATGCAAGAAATTTCCAACAGTTGCCTCTGAGGAGGTTGTTGGGGACAGGGAGGGAGGGGACCTCACCGCATACTCTTTCGTGCCTTTTGAATTATATGAACGTATTACTTGTTAAAAAATAAAATTATAAATAACAATAAAAATATTCAAATTAAGTTACTCAAAAAAGACCCCCATGGTGTCCAGAGCTGCCTCCCGAAGCCAGTTTGAGACATCTAATAGTCGACTCCCTCATTTCATTTGTGGGGAATGGAAGGTTACAAGCCAGGGAAATGGCCAAGTCTGGGTTTTTGGCTCGTGCTTTGGCCCCTGCCTCTGTTGGTCACATCCCACCAGGAGACAGCCACTCCCAATCTGTGGTAGCTCCTAAGACAAAGGGAAGAATCTAGGCTGCCAATAACTATTGCCTACATGGCCCTGGGCAAGTCACCATGGATCTGAGCCTCAATTTCCCCATCTGCAAACCTAGGGAAGCCTTTTTATAATGGTTATTTAACTATAACTGACTAGCAATGCCTGGCCCATGATGGCAGTTGTTGCACAAACATCAGGATCTTCCCTGCCATCCTGGGCTTGTCACCTGGCTGGCTGGCTGCTGAATTTGGCTGCAAGGTAGAGCACGCCTACTTCTATGCTCTATATAGCACCTAGGAGGTGGCGGCAGCTTGATAAATGGAAAACACTTTCATAAAGCTGAGAGTGGGACACTCTAGTCCCTTCTGCAGTAGCTTCCTCCTTACCCAACAAATCAATAAATAAATGCATCTCAGCTCACATAGGAGGCTGAGCCTTAACTCAGAGCATCAAGCTAGGCAGAATGGACCTTTGTTCCCTGGTGAGCTGTCACATAGGCAAAGAGCTTTATCCGCCATTTCAGGAGAGCCTCACAACATTCATCAGAATTCGGCAGGACAGGAATTATTGCCTCTTTTTTTTCAGATGCAGAGAATTAGGCCTTCAAGACACTTGATTTGCCCCACATTCAAACAGTAAGAATTCCCAATAGTTAAAATTACATCCAGTACTCATACAGGCCAAGGTCTGTGCCTAGCACTAGCGCCTGACAACAGCCTCACAGGATGGGTACTCCTACTCTAGGACCTATTTCACAGATGAAGAGAGGCTCAAAAAGGCTGAGTAATTTGCCTAGGGTCATACAACTACCAAATGGCAAAAGTGAGGTTACACAGCCCAGCAGTCTGAGGCCCACGAGGACTCTGTGGCCTCTTTGGGAGGAGGCTGTCTGGTGATGTGAACCCCGTGCCTGCCAGCTCCAAGTGCAGACAGACCTCCTTCCAGAAGGCTTCAGGGCCAGGGAGATGTGAGCAGAGGGGAAGGCAGTGCTGCAGGGCACCCTCATCAATGTCTGCTGCATGGACTCTGTGCGGCCAGAATATTCTCCCCGACTGAGGAGGCACCTACCCTGGAGCAGGCAGACAAGAGGTTGCCAGATGCAGGCATTCGAGTCAGCAAATCTATTTTAAACTCTCCTGGTTGAACAGAGCCCTTTCCCAGCCTTGATTCACAGGGCACCCAGCACTAACAAACTAACCAGACGGCGTGGGTGTGGGCGTGCACGCACACACACACACACATACACACACATGATTTCTAAATTAGCGTTTAAAAATATAAAAATGATGACCCATGTAAGACGATAGACAAAGGGCAAGTGGTTATTTCCAGATGGTCCAGCTCCAGGGGTGGGTGCAGGGGCCAACAGCTGGAACACTCAGGCCCACACTTGGCCGGGGACCATTCTCAGCTCCAGGCGTTTATTTGTCCAGGACCATTCAGCCTTGACGGAGCTTCTGAAGACGCCAGGAGTTTTCTCTAACCCCGGTCACAGGCCAGGGCACTGGAGTGAGCAAAGTCTCATTACTCTTTATAAAAGCGAGCTGCTGGCTTTTGGATTGAAAAGAAAAGGGAAGGGAAGAAGAGCCTCAGCACCCCCCAGGACGGGCTGGCGTTGGCCTGGTGTGTTTATCAAGCACCCGCAGGGGCTGGCCGACCTCAGTCCTGCTCCCTCTCTGGGTGACCTGGGGCGAGGGGCCGCCCCCACACAAAGAAACAGGAGCTTATGGGGCCTAGGGCCACTGCAGACCGCCGTCTGGAAACTGGGTGCTGGTTCCGAGGAGGTTTCTGACTCTGGCTGAATCAATCTTCCTTCTGCACCCTGATTTCCTCATCTGTGAAATGGGTGTAGATGGGCTGGTGAAGCTAACCTAGGGGGAAGTATTGCTGGGAAACATAGGGCGCCACCCAGAGGCCATGGCAGAATGTGCCCTGGGGTGGTCGACACTCCCACTCCCCGCCTCAGTCTCTCCAACTTGGGCCAAGAGTCAGCCACCTTCTGGATACTTTGAGCTGACTTGTGCATACCCAGGCCCCCCACATCCAGGCGGTGAGGTCCAGTTTCAGAAAATCCACAAGGAGGAGCAGGGGAAAGAATCTGGGGGCGAAAGACGATAGAGACCCAGACAAAGGGAAGGGGAGAGGAGAGTGGAGGGAGGGGAAGGAGAGCAGGGAGGAAGCAGAGGGTCCTCGGGAAGGGGGACAGGGCGGGAGGCGCCCCGCGGGAGGGGGCCGGGATGGGGCTGCGCTCGGTCCTGAGCTTCCGTGGAGCAGTCCCCAGGAGGGACCATGCGGGGAGGCCACCGAACACGGGAGCTCAGGGGGCTACCGGGAGCCTGAGGAGCCGGTCGGGAGCCAAGCCTGCGCCCGACCTCCGGCCCGCACTTACTGTCGTCACCACGCCGACTCCGCCGCTGCCTCCCCGGCCGCCAGGGCCACTGCGACTCGCGGCTCAGCTGGGCCTCAGGCCCGGCCCCGCCTCCAGGCCCCGCCCCGGCCGGTCACGCCGGCGCTTTCGTGTTTGCAAACTCTTCTTTCATCGCCTCCCTGCGCTCCAGCGCCGGCGCGGAGACTCCTGCACGCGCCCATTTCACAGGTGGAAAAAATGAGCCGCCCGCAGCTAAGCGCACTGTCCCCACGGACCGTGGAGCGCGCGGTGAAGCCGCGTCTCGGGGCTGCTGCAGCGTGCCCCTTCTCCACCTTGCAGTCGGACCCTGTCATCTCAGCCCTCCCCCTTTAACTCCCAGAGTCCTGCGCCTCGCCCTCCCCCACACTCCTGCAGAGGGCTCCCCCCCCCACACACCTGCTCCTCTCTGATCCCTGTGCTGTTCCCCCATTCAGCGCCACTTCAGGGATCCCTCCTGTCCCAGAGCGAGAGCTGGCCCCAGCCACCCAGTTTTTGCTCATAGTGTCAGGCTTTCTGTGTGCCAGGCCAGCGCCATGACGCTTTTCCTTGTCACTGCTCATTGTCTGGCTGAGGCGGGGAGTGGGGGAAGAGGAGGGGGTAGCTGGGCTGCTGTGCTGTCCTCAGACCCACCCCACCCCACCAGGCTCTTCCACCAGCCGCCAGGCATTTCTGTCTGGATTGCAGGCCAAGGGGGCTGCTTTTATCCAACCCTCTCAGCTGTGCCTTCATTCCCACTGTCTCATTAACAGCCACATGCCCTGAGGTTCAGGAGTAGCTTTACACCCAAAGCTGGGCTTATGGAAAGCCAAGACGGGGCTGGGATGGAATGCCCACCCTCACTTTGGCCCCCACATCCTTGTTAGTCCTATTTTATGGGGCACAAGTCCAAGGCTTATAACATTAAGTGGCTGGCCCAAGGTCACACAGTAGTGGAGCCTGTAGAGTCCCACCAGGTGTGACTCTAAAGTCCTTACCTATTTTCTGTTCCAGCACATGGCCCCTCCTAAGGGCTTGCAGGTGGGTGGTGAGTGGGGTGGAGTGAGAAGGGCTTCTCAGGACCTTGGAGCCAAATCTTTAGGACACGTGTGGCCCGTTGAGAAGAGCAGAGAGGGTGCTCCAGGAGGAGCAGAGGCCTGAAGCAAAAGCAGAGATGAGAGCAGTGATATGTCCTTGGTGAGGCTGTGAGAAAGGCTGGGCCCAGCTTCGGACGGCCTCTGAGAGCCGGAATGGGTGTGTGGACAACACCCTGCAGGCGACAGGGCTCCGGAAGGATATTCAGATGAGGAGAAGAGGCCTCACTCGGGTTTTAGAGAGATGACCATGGTGACAACTGGCAGAGCTGTGGACTAGAGGCTGGGGCCACTTGGCTGCAGGATCTGACTTACTTCTCCAGCAGAAGAAAACAGACCCACATTTGCCAAATTTTCATTTCCCATCTTTCTCCTTTTAAACCTTAAACCACACTGGATCCCAACCCAGCCTCTCTAACCCCGGTCAATGCAGTTTGCAACACCCCAGCTCAGAACATCTGGACCTTACCTGGGAACTGGGAAAGGAGGTGGGCAGGAGCAGGGAGCTGTGAGGGGTCAGGACCCCATTTTGGAAGTTTTGGGGCCACCGTGTGGTTGCTGGGGGAAAAGCAGAAATCTTGTCGAATCTATGTTTGCTCAACAAGCTTGCTGTTTCTGGTTAGGTTATGTGACATACAGATCCTACGACCAGTCAGAGTTCCCCAAGATGCTCCTATTTACGCTTCTTATACAAGCCGAGAAAATGGCTACTGTCCACGGTGAAATGACAAGCACCCAAAGGGAGGCTTGGAGCTGGGGATTGTGACAGGGACTGAAGACCTTCCCCAGACGTTGTCCCCGACTGGTACGGAGAGGAGGGAGGTCCCCTCTTGCTGCAGGCGGGTCTAGGAAGATGCCAGTGGCCCCATCTTGGGTCCCTGTCAGCTTCCTACTGGAACACCACAGATCCCCTCCAAAGTTCAGGGAGGTCAGGCAAGGTCTAGAGGTGGAGTCGGGCCCATACCCAGGCTGAACTTGGCCTTCCAAGTCTGGGCAGATGTTTTCAGAGGACCCAGAACTTGGCTTGGAAACGATTGTGGAAGTTGGCAATTCCAGCCTTCACGTCCGGCCCTCAGCCTGCTGCAGGTAAGGGCAACAGAGGTACCCCAGTAAGGAAGCAAGAAGCTTCCGGATCTCTGGGGTCCCCGTCCCGTGGGCCAGTTCAGAGCAGGGACCTGGAGGACTGTCCAGAGCCTGACATTCTGTGACTGTAGATGGCATGTCCTCGCAGCCGCCACCCCAGGGCTCAGCCACCCCATAGTGCCCTTGGAGGCCGTGCCCTGAGTAGTGTGGATGGGTTCTCAGAGCGCTCCTACGCCCCACGCCAGGCTCTTATCTCATAACCAATACTCCTGAACCCTGGCCTGGTGTAAAAGTCTGGGAATGTACCCAGATTCCGGGCCCCTCCCATGAGTTGGCAGAAAGACCCCCAGCTCAGGAGAGGAAGGGGCTTAAAGTTCCCTTTGTGAATCTTTGCTTTAGCCTTGGGAGCTAAGGGATAGTAGTGAAACTACTAAGCCTCTCTGAAACCCATGGCCTGAGTGGGGCCATTGGGAGCATTAAATGAGCCCAAAGACGCCATGCCCTCACTGCAAATTTCCTTCACTTCCAAGGAAGAGCCTCTCACCCCAAATGTGGTAAAGAGTTTATTTTGGAGAGTACTTCAGGCCTTAATGTTAGCCCTCAATTACATCTGAAAAAAATCCTCTAATATTAAAAGCATTTCCATGAACATTCTTTCATTTTATTCCCACAACCCAGTGAAATGAGACCGTTGTCCCCATTTTGCAGATGAAGAAACTGAAGCCAAAGAGGTGCAGCGGCTTCCCAGGGCACACAGCTGGCAGCGTTAGAGTGGCCGGCCCCAGAGCCAAGCCTCTTTCATATCAAGCAGGTGGTGAGGCTGAGGAGGGAAGGAATAGATGGCACAGGTGACAGAAGTCCTTGGGTCCAGTGAGGGCAGCGGAGCCAGGGCTGTTCCTGGTCCAGCCCCCGCATCGTAATCCCATCTCTTTGGTGCTTCTGTGCCTTGTTAGTTGACTGCATTTCTCCATGCAAATTCCTGAGTGGTATTCAGTCATTTTAATCTTTATCTTTGGAGATGTGTGTGTGTGTGTGAATGAGCGAGACTGTTTCAGAACACCTGCTGAGAATCAGGAGCCCTCTCCAGTGCTCCCAGGCTGGGTGGCTTTCTCCAAGTGAAAGGGGAGACAGCCACTTTGGAAGGTTAGCTGATTTCTTGGCCTGGGTCTCGGAAGGGGCTCGGGATAGCCTCCATCATGAAGACAGAAATATGTGGGAGGAAACAATTTGCTAATGCATCCTCTGGGCTACTTCCCGGCCAGTGTGGGCTCTTCTCCTCCAGGATCTAGACAGATGGCGGCGGCAGTGTCTAGCCTGGGGACAAAACGAGGTGGGTACCTTTGGGCATGCTCAACTTCCCAGGGAATGTTCAAAGCTGTGGGGGACCAGGGAGGGAGCACAAGAGTTGGGGCCTGTAATGACGAGCGGGGAAAAGAACGGGAGCACACACTAAAGAGGACCCAATCAATTTCTTTAGCCGTATACAATAGCAAAAGACAAAGGCAATTAAAAGAACGTGCAATGACAGAAGGTAAAAGGCAATTAAGACTAAACTATAAACATGAATAACAATGATACAACCAAAGAAGCTCACCAAACCATGGGAAGGCAACACTGGAAAGGTTGGGAACCAAAAATCCTCACCAGTCTGTGGCTGGAAAACCGGGGTGTCCCCCAATGCTGCAAGCTGCATGTAAGTTCCTCCCAATACAATGCCAATTGAGATCTGTCTTATATATATCTCTTCAGATGCACGCTAGAGCCACGTTTCTTGTTCCTGCCTCCCCCTCAGGGAATGGCCAGTTCCACGAGGGCTCCGCAGTTAATGTGATAAGAATATTGCTTATCCAGCTGAAGGGCCAGTTCATCTGGACAAACAGACTGCTGCTCCCACCTGGGGCCATCGGCCCAAGGCCTTTGAAGGCTTGGCAATGTGCCTGTTACCTCAGTCTCCTCATATCTCCTCTGTCGGACAAGATGAGGGAGGAACAGACAAAAAAGAAACAATGGAATCATGTCAGCCAATGAAAGCAAATTTTCCTGACCTAACATCTTCCCCACAGGGTCAGATGGGCTCTGATTCTGGCCCCACCTCTAACTAGCTGAGTGACCTTGAGCAAGTCTCTTCTCCTGATCCAAGTGCACTTCAGTGAAGTAATAAAAAGATATTGTATGTCAACTATAAATATATATACAGTCACGGGATGTGGAGTATAGTGTGGGGAGTGGAGTCAATGGAATTGTAATAGATATATATGATGTGGGAGGGGGTGGACTGGGTGAGGGAGGGTTGTCACTTTGTGAGGGGTGAAAAGTATAACTATTGTATTGTTTTGTACACCTGAAACTAAAAAAAAAAAAAAAAAATCTCCCCTGACAGGTTATCAGAAAAGAGGGAGTGGGGTCAACAAGGGGGCGGTAGAGAGGAGACAGAGATACAGATGTTTTGACAAGACTGACTTGAGAGTAGACTGATTCCTGGACCAGGAAAAGGATGGGAGTGGCGGGGCTAACGTGGACAGGTCCAGCGACTGACATTGTTGTGGGCAGGCCATGTAAGCCTTTCTGATAAGTGCCTAAGAAGTGACCACATGTTTCTGCTTTTCGAGCCCCCTACTTTGCATCTGGGGTGGAGATGAGGCACCTGAGGCATTGCAGCTGGGCAAAGTTGGTGATGTATTTGCAAGCATTGTCAGAGAATGCTGGGGAAAGTGTTCGTAAATGGGAAAGTGATGCTTACCTTCTGGACATCCTCGATGTTCTAAAATACACATGAAGATGAAAAGGGAGAGGGGAGAAAAAGGTAGAGGGGTAGAAGGAGTAGAAGGAGAAGAAAGAGTGGGAGAAGAGGAAGAAGGGAAGGAAAGAGGGAGTGAGGGAGGAAGACAGGAGAAGGAAGAAA